CCTTTCAGTCCGCAGGCCGACGCTCTATCCACTGAGCTAAACCAGTTAGGGCAAAATTCGACATTTTTAAGCGTAAAGATATTTATGATGTTAACACCTTCAGAAAATTTGACATATGAGGTTTTGAAGCTTGCTGTCAATACAACAAAATAGCATACATATCAAATCGCATATATATCAACGTATGTGTAACTCCATCCATTGAAAAAATCCGCATTATTAACTGGTACACCTGGTAGGCCTTCCAATGTTTGGAGTCTGCTTATATATACTACTACTCCCACCCCCAAATATATTTTTGGAAAATGAGGTTTATTGCCAAACATTAAATGGCTGATATTTAGGACAGGAATTTATAAATTATAAATTTATATTCTCTTAAAAATAATCTCTTTTTATTTTGCCGAAACCGGTTTGGCTCAGTGGATAGAGCGTCGGCCTGCGGACTGAAAGGTCCTGGGTTCGATTCCGGTCAAGGGCATGTACCTGGGTTGCGGGCACATCCCCAGTAGGAGATGTGCAGGAGGCAGCTAATCGATGTTTCTCTCTCATCGATGTTTCTAACTCTCTATCTCTCTCCCTTCCTCTCTGTAAAAAATCAATAAAATAAAAAAAAACCAAAAAAACAAAACCACTGGCTGCCTGGCTGGGACCCTCCCAGAGTCTCTCCTGGCGGCTCTGCTTTGAAAAAAAAAAAAAAAAAAAATCTTTTTTTATTTTTTATTTTTGAAGTATTGGTTCAGAGAATGTAATTATATCCAAGCAGTGAATGATTTTACTTAATTAATGACCAAAGGGTTTAGTTTTTATGGTCATTAAAATTTTCCTTTTGAAAAATTTGGGAAAAATACTTTGGGCTATGGGGGGCGAGGGAGAAAGAAAAAGAGAGAGAGAGAAGGGAGGGAGGAAGGGGGAGAGAGAGAGAGAGAGAGAAACATTGATGAGAAAGCGCAACTTTGATTGATCGGTTGCCTCATGTACGCCTACTACTGGGGATCAAGCCCATAACTCCTGCATGTGCCCTGACCAGGAATCAAACCAGCACCTTTTTGGTATACCATATGACACCCAACCAACTGAGCCACATTGGCCAGAGTTTTATTTTCTTGTCTTTATGCATGTCTTGGACAGAACTGAAACATCACCCTTTCCTCTAGTACTTGAAGTTTTTCTTTTAGTGTATAAGAAGTCATGCTTGTGATAGTGCGCCAATATTAAAATCAGGGAAAATGTGTATTACATGTCATGTGATTAACCATGGCTGTTCTTTTCTGACAGTGCTGGGAGAAGGACTGGCCAAGGGAGATGGTGCTTTTCAGGCAGTGCTTTGCTGCATGCAGCTGAAAGGAAAGCTTCAACTTGTATCCAACATTCTTGCCAAGTCACTGACAGGAGAGTCCCTGGTACGTTGATGAACTCTAATTTTTTTTCAGTGCTTTAAAAAGAAATAAATTTATTGGGGTGGCTGGTTAACAAAATTATATAGTTTTCAAGTGTATAATTCTATGATTTGTCATCTATATATTGCATCGTGTGTTTACCACCCAAAGTCAAATCTCCTTTGTCGCCATATATTTGACCCCCTTTACCCTTTACTACACTACCTGCTCCATACCCTTTCCCTTTGGTAACCATCATACTGTTTGTGTCTATGAGTTTTTGTTTGTTTGATCATCCCATTTGTTCATTTGTTGCTTTCAGTTTTATATTCCACGTTGTGAGTGAAATCATATGGTAATGAATTCTAATTTTGAGTGTCTGAAAAGAGATTCATGTATTTGACTCCTTAGGAATATTGTGGGGAAAAACAGTTAGTGTGCATTTTCTTTCTTATTTTCTCCTACCAGAAATGAGGTTCATAGGTATATTTCTCCTCAACAAACTGGTATTTAACCATTGGATTCTTGTAGTTTGTGATAATATATATATATATATATATATACTAGAGGCCCGGTGCACAAAAATTTGTGCACTGGGGGTGGGGGGACTCAGCCCGGCCTGTGCCCTCTCACAGTCTGGGACCCCTCGGGGGATGTCCACGAATTTGCAGGTGCTTTTTGAAACTTTGAAAGTGTAGGATAGCTAAATAATTCAGAACTTGAAAATATTTTTGGTTCTGTTACGTTTTAAAATTCTCCTGTGGATATATGATTTTACGGGGTCCTTAAATTCGGCCACTTATTTCATAAAATGTTTACATTTATCTAAACTATATAATAATTACTTTTATATTTGAAGAAGGTATGGGTGTAAGTTGATATTCATGACTACTCTAATGGAGCTATTTAATTCTTTTCAGACTTTGGGATTAATTTTTTTTAATGTAGCATTTAATTTTCTAGAGTTTGTTTTTGGTTGACATAATTGAAAAACTATTTTTTGGAACTTGAGAGTTGGCAATCTGTAGGAATTGGAAGATAAGAAGATAGTATAACTCTTTTTCTTACCAGTTGGTAACTGCTATAAAATTCTCTGATATTTTTCAGGAATCATAATGAAAAACAGTGAAAGCAAGAAAGTATATGTATACTGTGCTATATAGCATGAATCCCTTATTTTATTCCCTTATTTTGAATTGATAGAAATTATGAAAATCAGGCATAAAGTTGTGTTTTTAATGGAAATAAATATATTTGGTGACAAAAAAGAACTTAGGAGAGTACTTGATATACTGCTGAGTGTAATGTAATGACTCATCTCAGAGAACAGTTTATTTCTAAGGAATTATTGTGTAGTATATTGTTAATTGATTTACCATTGTTTTTTGATTTCACCAAATTCACATTAAAGGTTAAATGTATTAATATAGCAAAATGTTACAGCTCTTTAGTTCTAAGTAGGTGATAATATACCTCTGTTATTAAGAAAATTCTATCTTTAAGGAACCTTTTAATATAAGTTTAGCATATTGCACAGTTTTACCTATTAAGTTTTTAAACTAGGAAGAAGTAATTTGCCTTTAAATCTCAAGTGAAATTTGAATTTCAGATGAGAGAATATTTTGTATATTTTCCTTTATCAGGTTTGTTAATGAGCCAACTTTAAAGTGCCATCATTATTTTATGTGAATCTGATTCATGGGTAACTGATTGAATTCACCACTTTGTAAATATAAGCTCATTAGTTTTAGGGAAAAAAGTTTAGGCTTATTTTTCTTTTCATTTATCCTATCTTGCTCTTTGGTGATACCCATTGTGAATATTTTATTGAATTGATTTTAAGCTCTTATGGAAGGTGAATACAGTGTTTTAGGGTAAACTATATATTTTATTCTGTTAAATTAACCTTTTTAACTTTCCTTATAGATGGTTAACTTGATTATCATGATTAATGACGGGATGGGAGGTGAGGAGTAGCATTGTTTTCTTTACAAATAAAACTTAGAAACAGTTGAGGAATTAAGTCCCCATAGTCAAGAACTAATATACTAATCGGTTTTCCCCTTTTTTATTTACCTTTTCAGAATGGGATGGTAACAAAAGATTTAACAAGACTAAAAACACTTCTCACAGAAACAGAGGTAAGACTATTTCAGTGGATTTCTTTGGAAAGTTTAAGTCAGTCTGGCTAGTAAGTGTTTTGTATTAAATTTTGGAAAATCATTGGGCATTGGCTAAGACAGCAAGGCTGTAAAGGTGGGGTGGTGGAACCTTCTGACCCTTTATAACCCAGCTTGCGAGTCATATGCAAATGTAGATATTAGTAAAATTTTATTTTTAATATTTATAATACTGTGACATTTAAGGTCACAAATATCACTTGACTCTTACTTTGTGACTGTACTTTTGGAAATGATTTAGTTTTGTATATAATTTCTTTTTAAAAAAATATATATTGATTTCAGAGAGGAAGGGAGAGGGAGAGAGAGATAGGAACATCAATGATGAGAGAGAATCATTGATCGGTTGCCTGCTGCATGCCCCCCACTGGGGACCGAGCCCACAATCCAAGCATGTGCCTTTGACCAGGAATTGAACCTGGGACCCTTCAGTCTGTTGGCCGACGCTCTATTCCTTGAGCCAAACCGGCTAGGGCAGTTTTGTTTATAATTTCTTTTTTATGTAACCAAAGTAGTATTCTTTTGGTTAGTGAACTGAAATTATTTTTAAAAATCCATCTAGAAAAAGTTAATAAACAATGCTTCCCTTACTTATTATTGCACATGACATTTAAAAATAGCTACAATTTTTATTTAAAGACTAGTAGCCCTGCACATGAATCCATCCGCCAGTAGCTTGCTGCTGCCCTCCTGTAGCTCTCTGCAGCCCATTTGTAGCTCACTGCCCCACCCTCCTGCTGATCTGGTTGTGATGCAGTCGGTTGTTAGGCTATTAGGCTTCATGGCGTAAGGACCATTTGCATATTACATCTTTATTATATAGGATTGGGCTGAGCTGGTATTTAACTTGTAAATGCTAGTGGATGAGGATAAAGACATGGAACTGAGGGCTAGCTAATGGGAACAAAAACAATACATATTAGTAAAATTTAAAATATCAAATCAATAGATTTGATGGTGAATTTATAGGAATTCTAGCAGTATGAAATTTGGCTGCTTTCCCTGAAGGCATCAATGAAGACTGAAGATCATAAGCTAATTCATATTGCCCTTCTGTCTTGGGATCCGAGCACATAAAAAAAAACACACAACCAAACACACAGTACTTTGGAACCTAAAAGCCATGGTGACCAAATACTCATCAAGGCCAAGTTTCTCTCTCTCTCTCTCTCTCTCTCTCTCTCTCTTAACCGGCTCTGAGGTTGTGTGTTTGAGACCCTCCCAGCCTGCAAGTTGTAGTGTCAGCTCAGGCTTCCTCTGCCCCTTCGCAGACCATTGCAGATGCTGATGCAGGAAACACACTGTGTGTTTTTCCCTTCTAACAATTAACAATCGTGAATGTTTTAGCCTTCATTTTATGACCAAAACATTTTATGCCCATCTTTTTTGCATATTTGATAAATTTATTTTGATAAATATTTTAGAGGGGATCCTTTAAATTCATACTTGAAGGCAAGTTTTAGTTTTTATATTTATACACTAGAAGCCCGATGCATGAAATTCATGCAAGAGTAGGCCTTCCTTTCCCCGGCTGCCGGCACTGGCTTCCCTCTGGCACCCGGGACCTGGGCTTCCCTCCAGTACCCTGGGCTTCCCTGCATTCGCCAGCAGGCACCTGGGACCCGGGCTTCCCTTGCAGTCCCGGCTTCGTCCGGAAGGTCGTCCAGAAGGACATTTGGTCTAATTAGCATATTATGCTTTTATTATTATATATTCTGTGTAGATGGAATCATTTTTTTAAGCGCAGGTGTGGGACTATGGCATTTAGAACTTGCTCATAAAATTTGAAGAGATCTTTTAATGTATCTTTTCTTGTGAGAATAGAATCCTTATAATGTGAGCAATTACAACTGATTTGTTAGCTTATGCATTCTTATATACAGTCCTCATTTTACAAAAAGAATGGGTTGTCTTTAAAAACTTATTAATAAGCAGTGTTGAGAATAAGAAAGCATTTTCCAGTAGAGTTATTATAGTGATTCAGTTCCAGCCCAACCTAGAAAGTCCAATTTAATTAACAACATGTGAATTATAGTGATATTATTGTTTCAGTTATACCCAATTAGCATTTATGACATTCTTTCTATGGTACAAGACATTCCAAATTTCACCTTGGGATATCATTTCCTCCTCCTGATTCAGTTCAGCATTTACTGTGTGCCTAGGCTGTTCAAGGTTCTGTGGGTTTTGAAAGCTGAGGTATTAATGAAAAACAATCTGATGGACCAGTCTAAGATGCATAAGCTACTGTACCCAGAGGGCAGCTTGTGGGTAGTAAGTGCTGAATAATGGAAGTACAGGCAGGGAAAGAATTGGTGAACACTCTGGGGAAACCAGGGAGGCAGGAATGTGGGAACTGAGGTCAAAGGACGGAGGGAGCTAAGTGAAGACCCAGAGGTGACTTGGCGCAGGGTAAGATTGGCAATCAGCTGGTTCAAGGATAGATGAGACGGGTAGTAATGAGGGCCTTACCTAGGACGTGGCAGTGGGAGTAGAGAGTATAAGAGACATTCTACACCTGGTTGGGCAGGATTTGGAGAATACTCAGAGCAGGACAGAAGAGGAAGAGTTCAAGATGGTTTTCTTAATTTCAGTCCTCTCTTTGGGGAATTTGAGTGTATGAATTTGAAATGAGCAGAGAAAGAGGATGAGATTTGCAGTAAAGTTGATGAATTTTGTTTTGGACATATTGTGTTCAAAGTGCATCCAGCCATTCATCCAGCATTTTCTGAGTACCCAGTATGTGCCAGATCCCCTGTGAGGGGCGGGAACGTAAAGGGGCAGTTGCAGGCTTTTGACAATGATCTGTACATGGCTGGCAGTGATCAGCATGTAAAATGTTGTAGAATAGTTAATAGAAAGTGCTATGGGTGGCACTCAGTTGGAATTGTGGGTGTGGAGCTTAGAGTAAACTTAGAGTCAAAGGGACAGATTGAGGATTTATCTGCACCAAGGAAGTCAAGAAAACCAGCAGGTCAGAGTGAGTGGGTCCCCTCTGTGGTCTCCATTGTGGAGAAGGGCTCATCCCCTAGTGAGGGGGACTTAGTGGGATGTGCTCCGAGGCCCCCAAGTGGCGCTCCGCTTGATAGAGGAGAAAAGGCTAGTTGGTCATTCTCTGGGTGTTTGGAAGAGGAGAGCGAAAAGAGTAAGTGGATGGAAGGCGGTACTCTGTGGGTTCCGGATTGGGGGCTTAGACCTTTGTTCTTTTGCTACCAGGTAATTTTTATGTAGGAAATCTTATCAGTGTTCTTAATGAGGGCCACACAATTACTCTTTTCTGTGTTTAAATATAGTTTAACATAGAGCAAAACATGTCTGAGATATTAATGTTAAATTTTTCTAAGTATTCAGACTCAGGCTTTAAAAAATATTGAAAATGTCCAAGTTTAATTCGACATCAATTGGATATTTCTTATTATAAAAATATCTTTCATTTCAAAAATTGCAGACAGCAACTAGTAACGTCCTCTCTGGATATCACGTGGAAGATTTAGAAGAGGGTAAGTACCAAACTCTGCATAACTTCTAGTAACTGTGATCTGGACATTGCTTTTTATTGATTATTGGGAGGAAATTTATTGAGTTACAATACATGGAAGTGGAGTTGTAGGAGAGAATATAAAAATAAAAAAATTTAATTCTAAAAAATGTGTGGATGAAAGCAATTCTTTTCACTGGCCCCTTTCCTTAGAATAATGAAGTAATGGTGGTACAGGGTAGCTCTAAAGGTTATCTATTTCATTTTCTTGCCTCCACATAGTTTAAAACTCATTCTTAGCAGTCCTTAGAGGAGGGAGTCTTTTCTCCTCTCTCTCTCTCAGGCCAGTACAATTACTACTTTTTGGAAGTTCTAATCTGTAAACTGAGTTGTTCCTGCCACCACTAAAATCTCCTCTTGCCAGAGGAAGGGGAAGAGAGACCAGCCTTCACTGAGTGCTTGCTGGATACTGTGGACGGCTGTAGTGGCTTTCGCCAAATGTGTGATGACTTCTTAGAGCCCTTCCCCATTTTTTTGAGAGGTGATGAAACTGATATTTACCAAGGTCCAGCAATTTCCTCAGTCACACAGCTAGTAAGGGATGAAACCCAGCTTTAAATTCAACCTGGCTGAATATTTTTTGATGGGGCAGGGAGGCACAGTGACTCATGAGGGATAAGGTATAGGTCATGGCTCTGAGGTCCTTGGAAACTTGTCCTGCTCAGCCTCTGTAACTCTAGTCTTTTCTCGCTGAAGCCCTGTTTTCCCTGGCTTAGTATATTTTAAACAAATAAAAGCTCATTCTATTTGGAAGTAAACATGTTATTTTTTTTAGCTCCTACCTTAGAATTCAACTTTTTGAACTTTATTTCAGTTGTGAAAAAGGATTACTTTATGCAATGACATGTCAGACAGATCCTGAGGAACATGGGTAGTGACGTGGAACTTCTCACTCAGTATGCAGTACTGGAATTTGTTTTCTAAAATTTCCTCCCAGGATACATAATTTTCTCATTCCTGAGGTATTCCTAATAGAGACACATCTCATACTTGAAAAATGATAAACATGCCAACATTCCCCCCGTTAGTTGTTTGAAAGAGACTGCACTGGAAATATGCCCACCAGTTGCTAGGATAGAGTCAGGGTCATAGATTTGACTTAGCTGCTTGGTAACTGCTTCTTCAGTGATTTTTAAGTTTCATATGGTTGATTTAACTCACTTGATTGGTCAATTACTCTTTTGGTAGAGGCAAGTATATCATGTTCTTTTTACATCATCTGGGATGATGTGTGTGGAGGGTTTATAGAATTTTTTACACATTAAAATATCAGAATTATTAGCAAGCCTCAAATGATAAGACTATATCCTGATTACTCTCTAGGATCTTGTAATGGTTGGCATTTCCGCCCACCACCTAGGGGAATCACAAGCAGCGAGGAATATACTTTGTGTAAAAGGTAACGTGAATTTTTTTTTTAAACCCATGACATGTTTTTATTCAAAGGATAGTTAATTTTCCTTCACTTTTTTAAAGAAAATATGTGAAGGAAGAAGTATAATGATTGAGTAAAATGGTTTATTTTCAGTTTGAAACAGAAGCCATAATGGTCATTATCATTAAAAAATAAAAATCAAAGCCATATTGATGAGTCTTCTGTTAATTACAAAAACAATGATATAAATGGAGATTGTTTTGAAGTCTCTTATAATACCAGTTGGATTAATATGACTGAATTTAATTGCTGGTCTCTTGCTTATGTGAAATTTATCTGTTATGGTCATTGAAATTATATAAACTGAAATAGAAGATAAAATAGATGAAGAATTGTTAAATTATTTTAATAACCTTTTTAAAAATATACTATCTTCATGTAATCCTTATAAAGAATTTGAGTAATTTATATTTGAAGGGCTAACCTTTCAGAACTTAATTATGTATTGAGTGGAAAGAATTATTAGTCACATTTAGAAAGGTGAACCCTTCAGTTCTTTTTATAAGCACTAGTAACTAGTGGGATTTTAGATATAAAATCTCATTACTCTAGATTGCTTTTGATAATGAAGAGAATTTGATATGTAATGTTGATGATTGAATAGTTAAGACATCAGATTTGATTTTATAGTAGAAATAAAGTAGTGAATTTTGAAAATCCTGGTGGCATCCTGTTGTAGGAGAGTTAGATAACAATCCAGTTATGCAAAGGAAATGTAAGAAAATTTATAGTCCAAATGAGAATATCCAATCTTCAGTTTCTAGGGAAATAATTTAAAATACAGCAATAGAAAGTTGAAATATTTGGCTCAGTAAGACATACTTAAGAGAAATAAATGCATGGTTTTAAAGATGTTTTATGATGCATAAGAGAAGTTCATAAGTAGTACAATTTAAGTTCAAGTGCTTTGTATATCATCAAGAAAAGCTTTATATATACTTGTCTTTTCAAATAAAGTGAGCCATTTGATAATTTAAATTGTGCTGTGTTTCATTTTGTATTTCTTACTATCCATATTTTACCAGTTGAAAAACTATGATATAATATCACTCTTGTCTTCATTTTGCTATTTATAGTTTAATTTTCTTATCATAAGTAAGATGCTTTATTATGCTTCAATCATTTAAAAATTGGCTGGACCCATAATTCTGCAAGGTATTTAAAACTTAAAAAAAATGATTGATCAACATCTTGCATTTTTATCAGTTTTTGACTGAATTGTCAATTTAATTTTCTGAGTTATAAACACTGAGAGACTATTAGTTCTATAACCTTTAAAATGAACATTTATGAATTTAGCTATTAAAGAATTTAATCTCTTGAATTGTGATTCTAATATAAAACTTTTAATCTTTAAAACTTCAAGCAAATTAATATAGTCCAATATTTTCAGTGAAATATTGGTAATAGTAATAGAGAAAAGAGTAAAAGTAAAAAGTAGAAGCCTTAAAATGATAAGTTACTGATATAGTAAAGTTTTTCCAGAATGAAATTCTTTGTGGAACCTTTTCTTTAGGTCGTATCATTTTGGGGAGTAGGGCATACCTGTGTTTGACGAGCTAATCCACTTGATGTCAGTGTTGCTGTAACAAATGCTGCTCTAAGAGGAACTGATAGAGTTGTTACATCACGAAGGAAGCTACCTTTTCGGTGGTGGTTTTTGTGGGTGGGTGGTTATGATTATGCTCTGCTTTAGCACCCCCTTACTCTCAAGGAGAAGGTCAGTTAATATGGGGAGTTGCTGTTTTGACGAACTATTGTAAATGTTCTCTAAACCTCTCCTTCCTCCTCTGTGCAAGACACTGTGATAAATATGGCCTATCAGGAGACTAAGTTTTGTTTTTGTTATTGAAGAGTTGGAGGGAAAATGCTGAAAGTTTATCTTTTAAATGGTCCAACAAAGTATATGATAAAACAGTCTTTCCTATTCTACTTAGATTTTTAGAGCAAGGAATCTGTAGGTATGGTGCCCAGTGTACTTCAGCACATTCCCAGGAAGAACTAGCAGAATGGCAGAAAAGATATGCTTCACGGTTGATAAAATTGAAACAGCAAAATGAGAATAAACAGTTCTCAGGCAGTTACATGGAAACCTTGATAGAAAAGTGGATGAATTCATTATCTCCTGAGAAAGTGGTGAGGAAAATAAACTGCATTTTTTGTTTGTTTGTTTTAAATAATGATTTTGTTTGAGTCTTGACTTTATTTTGTGCTATATTTTGGTTTATTTCATTATCCTCTATATGAAGAGCTTGATTCTTGATAAAGCGTTTTTAGTAGCAAAAGTAGAGCTGTTTGCTAAAAAATAAAGAGTAAAAACTAAGCCGTTTGGAGATTTTGTAGGTATTATATTAATTTATTTTCATTCAGGGAGTTTTTACTGCCATTTTTTGTTTGTTTTCTATGTCTCTTATTTTAGCTTTATTATATTTTGTAAGAACACAAAAACTGAAAATTAATGTATAAGACACTTTGCTTTGTAAACAGTTCCATCACATCTTACTATTGACATTTAATGTATTTAGTATGCCAGAAGTTTTTTATGAGCTTTTAGGAATGGAAATGTAACATTAGTTGCTCTCTGTTTTCAGCTTAGTGAATGTGTTGAAGGAGTAAAGGTAGAGCATAATCCTGATCTGACGGTTACTGTCAACACCAAAAAGTCTCACCAGACATGGACTTTTGCTCTCACCTGTAAGGTATGAATTTTGTGCTACTCAAATAATGTAAATTTTTTCCAATTTTCTTAAAACCTTTAAATCTCTGTGTTAAAAGAGCATTGAAAATGTTTTAATCTAAGTACATTTTAATGTAGGTTCTATGTTATTCTAACGTGTATTTCTGTATTTTGATCGTTAAAGGTACAATTTTTGTTTTAGATTTTGAGATAAAATCTTTCTAGATGTTTGATGCTTGCTCATTTATTTATTGATTTGGTAAAGAGGTCTTCGATTTGTTGTCTTCCAAACTTGGAACATGGGATGGGGTTCATGGCTTATAATTAACTATTTAAAAATCGAGTTATTTAATCTGGCAGTTCTAAGATCTTAAAATAATGGCAATTTATTTTTACATTTGATTTGATGAAATCACAAATTCTATAATAATGGGGTTTTAAAATGAGACATTTCACAGTACATCCCATCTTGAAGTAAAATATTCAGACTTTAAGAATGAAGCAAAGTAAAAATTTCTGTAAATATATGCAGTGGAAAAGTTTGTGTACTTTTTGGTGGCATTTCTTCCACTGTACCATGTGCATCTTGGGATGAAAAATCTGGGAACATTTAGCTTCAGCCTTGAACCCAATCCAGTACTTTCAGGGGTAACTGCCCGCCTGTGAAGACTTCCTACTTGAGGATAGGTAAAACTTTTTTAGGCCAAGGGCATGGAAAGTTGGAGGTCGATGGTCATATAGAGTGATAGCCTTTGCCACAGTGAAAGGTGAACATATCACAGAAAAGAGCAGGGGAGCTAGTGATGTAGCATAAATATATCATTTAAAAAAAATTTCAGCTTTATTGAAGTATAATTGACATAAATATATTACTTTTTAACAACATATTTTTTAAAGTCATTATGATTTTTTTCTTAAATGGCTTATGAGCACAATTTGTATTTTTAAAATATTATCTTAGAAGCATGGGAAAGTAAAATTCCCTTATGGAAATATTTTCGTTGAAGAGCCCAATTACAATTGGATTTTTCACCCCCTTGTACTCAATGAATTATTTTAACTTCCTTGTAGCCTGCAAGAATGCTGTATCGTGTAGCATTGCTTTATGATGCTCATCGTCCTCATTTTAGTATCATTGCAATATCTGCCGGAGATAGTACTACCCAGGTATCACAAGAAGTCCCAGAAAACTGTCAAGAATGGATAGGAGGAAAGATGGCCCAAAATGGATTAGATCATTACGTGTATAAAGTCGGGATAGCATTTAACACAGAAATATTTGGAACTTTTCGCCAAACCATAGTTTTCGACTTTGGATTGGAACCAGTACTCATGCAAAGAGTAATGATTGATGCAGCTTCTACAGAAGGTAATATTTAGACTTTTTTCCCCTGATACGATGTATTAAAAGAGACACTCATAACAACATTGAAAGATATGTATTGGCCCCTCTATGTTCCATGAATAGGGAGGGAATAATTAGGGAAAAAAAAATCTCAAATTAATTGACTCATTTACTATGTAATAGGATTAGAATGGTTCACATTATGCCCTTTCTCTTTATACAGTCATCAGGCAAAGCTTGTATGAGTAGATGATCAGGTCTGTCTTGGTCTCCCAACTTCATTTTTAAAGTAGGATGACTTTAGCACAATAAAAGCTTTTTAAAAAAATATATATTTCTTTATTGATTTCAAAGAGGAAGGGAGAGGGGAGAGAGAGAAACATTAATGATGAGAGAGAATCACTGATCGGCTGCCTCCTGCACACCCCCCCACTGGGGATCGAGCCCGCCTTGGCTGGAATCGAACCTGGGACCCTTCAGTCCGCAGGCCGATGCTCTATCCACTGAGCCAAGCCGACCAGGGCTCAATAAAAGCTTTTAATATTGCTTTGAATAGAGTATAATTTTAATGGTAATCGTGAGTACACTTACAGTGTCTATTTCCATGTTTGACTGACTGTCCAATTAACTTTGATGATGTTAGTGCATTATCTCTGAATGAAAAGTCCTAAATATAAGCTTTCATAGGTTGGTTTTGTACATTCACTAGTGTAAAGGAGACCCAAGTGCCTTTGCACCCAGGTGCCCTTAGGAAGAAGTCCATGGCTTCAACATGTAAGCACCTGTAGAAGACGATGAATTTCCTTGTACGTTACCATATTGCTGCATACACCTAAATATTATGCCAGAATCCAAAAGAAAAGGGCACATTAGCCTACATTTCTTTGCACTTGGTTGGATATATAGGTGCTTTATTTTATTTACGAAATACTAAGTATTAACAAACACTTCATGTAGCAGAGCTGTATGAAACTTGCTTTGGTATTGACTAACTCACCATATTGGGGAGGATGTTTTTTCCTTTGTACCCCCGTCCCTTTTATAAGAACTAAAATTTGTTTTTTTCATGAGCAAATGCTAGGATTTAACTTTTTGGACATAGCGAACAGGTGGAATTGGTTCTGTCTCCTTTACTTTAGCTGCTGGTAAGTTAAAGCAACATTTGTGTCCAAATTGAACAATTAGGCATTACTCCCTTGTGTGTATGCTAATATTATTCCCCAGACTCATTCCACCTTGATTTCCCACTTACTTTGATTTATTTTACTTGTGTTTATTCTGTTGTATTTTGTTTTTGTCATCTTAGTAATCTTTGAAATCAAAATGTTATTTCCCATAGTCAAATAGCTGTGATCATTGACAAAATGAAAATATTTGGTTTATATTTACTAATATAAATTCTTTTTCTGTAAAGGGCCAGATAATATGTAAGTGAATGGTGTGACTATATTACAATAAAACTATTTTCAGTAACAGCAGCAGGCTGGATTTGTCTTGCATTCTATGGTTTGCCTATTCCTGTACTAGTAAGTTGCTTTTAGAGACTAGAACTTGAGATAACTAGGGAGCACCCTTTTTCAATCAAGGAGATTTAAATCAAGAGAGAGCAACATGCATCCCTTCCTCAAATAGAACTCTGAAAAGATGTCTTGGCTTACATGTTGGTTGTATTTTAAAAGTTTGCTTTTAGATTGGTGGATTGTAACGCATGACTCATTTCTCATAGAAATAGTTTGTGTTGTCAAGAATCTGTACTAGCTAATAAAAGCTTGTTTAATAATATAAAGTGTTAAATGTCTGAAGAGGATTTCAGGCACCCTCATGGACTTGAGAGATTAAGGTTACTTTGGCTACTTGTTCTCAGATATGTTCAATTTTCTAGTTGGAGAAAAAGAGCAGTGGAATAGACTTCACAGTCCAATAAAATTGGATTTGAATCCTGATTTTCTATTTATTACCTGTGTGACCCTGGGCAGAGTACTTAACAATACTGTAGCCCACTTTTTAAAAATAATACTATAAAGTGACCTCTTTGCAGTTTGATATCTTTGCCTGTTTTTAATGAGTACTTAAAAATATGTTTTTATTGATTTCAGAGAGAGGAAGGGAGAGGAAAGAGGGGTAGAAACATCAATGATGAGAGAGAATCATTGATCAGCTACTTCCTGCACTTCCCCTGCTGGGGATTGAGCCCACAATCTGGGCTTTGAACTGTGACCTCCTGGTTCATGGGTAGACATTCAGTCACTGAGCCACACCAGCCAGGCTGCCTATTTTCTTTTAAACAAGATTTTACTTCTACATAGTTAAGGAAGATAGTTGAGAAAAGTTAAACATTTTCGTGAACTAATTTGGGTACATTGAAACAGTTTCACATAATGAAATTTGTTTTTCAAGGACCGGAAAAATAAAATTACAGGAGAACAATGCAAAATGTGCAAAATATATTTTATGATATGAGATTTTAACATTATAAAAAGGAAAACAAATCTAGGTTTAGGCAAGCGGGGTGACATTTGGTTGATTATTTTGTCATTGCTTAAATTAGCTGACCTGGTTGTACTAATGTTTCTTTGTCAGATACTTTTAAAATTCGTTTTAAAAAAATCTTCATTGTTGGAAGTATTACATATGTCACCTTTCCCCCTTACTTTTATACTGTTAAAATTGATGTCATTGAATATCTTGATGTTTTTTGTTAAGTTCTTAAATTTTTTATTGTGTGACTATATTTGTTTCAGTGTGACTGTGTACAGAGTCCCAACAGAATTTTGGAGAAATGAAAGTAGGACATAAACAACAATATTTGTTTCCTGCGTCTATCTTAGTACTAGTTAGTGTTTTTTTGATTATTATAGCAGAATGCTTGTCAGCAAAAAAATTGAGGGCAAAAGATTTGTTTATGTGTAATCACAATTTTATAAAACATTCTGAAATAGTTAAAATGTAAAATGGGAGTCTCCCATTTTTATCATTTCCTGGAATATTTGTGTGGATAACATTCAGAGACATTGAGAGCAAGAGAAGTTCTTTGTTAAATTGGTGACAGTGTAACTGACAGTCTGGCTGATTTCACCTCTAGCCTCAGCCAGTTCATTATTTGATTTTCCTTGGCCTAGAATTCTGAGAAAAGTGTTATTCCATGTACAAACTGGCCAAAAGGCAGTTGAGAATTGGGGAATTAAATTAGGTCTGAGCTTTATCATGTTTTCATAATATTATAAATTATATCTCAATATAATTTGGTTTTTACACACACAAAAATGCAGTGATGGTGTGAAACTAGAATTTGAATAGGAAATATCTCTGTCACTTCTTCCACTTGATTGGCTATTCATTGTTTAAGTAAGTTTTTGTCCTTAAATTAATCTTGGGAACATATATTTCTCTTCCATAAAGTTATAAATTTGGGCCATTGTGGGTCATCTATTTATTAGCTTGATGTTTCTAAAACTGTTCCACAGAAATTAATAGGGGTTATACACATTAATAATAGGTAAAGAGTTTCATGTCCAAATACGTTTGGAAATGGTGCATGCTTTATTTCCCAGTGCACCTCAGTAATTAAGGGCTCAGTGTCTGTCAAACTGATTTGATCATGGAACTTAGTTATATTCATTTATTACTCCTTGAAACTTAAAATCAAGTTACATAGCAGACATTTCTTTTTTAAAAAAAATATATTTTTATTGACTTCAGAGAGGAAGGGAGAGGGAGAGAGACATAGAAACATCTATAATGAGAGAGAATCATTGGTTGGCTGCCTCCTGCACCCCCCACACCAGGGATCGAGCCCACAACCTGGGTATGTGCCCTGACAGGGAATGGAACTGTGATCTCCTGGTTCATAGGTCAACTCTCAACCACTGAGCCATGCTGGCCACCTTTCTAATTTATTGCTCATTATTGAACTAAAAAAAGCCTGCCTACTTTAGGTGATTCAAATTTGAATTGGGAAAATACTCCACAGTTTTTTTTGTTTGTCTTTTACACGAAGCATCCAAATCTTTTTTGTTTGCAGGTCATGAATGAATTTCCCCCCCTCTAGTCGTTTGACAATTCTGCAAAGTAGGAAACATATATAACTTTAACTTTGCTTTTTGCAGTGTTTTCCCTTTGTTGGTACAATTTGGGTTCAGAAAAGGATACAATATGTTCTCAAAAAAACTTTTTTGGATTAAAGATGTGCCTCTCAAAAATGTGTGGTAAAAAACATCTACAAAAGAAGGAAGTTAGTGAGTTTTCCCCTTACTTAGAAAACTGCATTTATGCCTTCTACCACAACTTTGAGTAATGGAAAATTTTTGCTGGGCAAAATTGATTTGGAATTCTGCTTTGACTGTCTCTGAAAGTTACATGTTGAAGATTAATTCTTATATTTAAATTTGGAAATTTGGTATCACACATTTTTCTACTTTGTGTCTAGCAGTGTATGTTAACACTAACATTACAATTTAGTATGACCTAAAAATGATCTTCAACTGTCAAATTTAGTTGCTAAATTAAGAGCATGTTATGTAATATTTAATATGATGTGATCAGAAAGTAATAGAAAAATATATTTAAAAATTGTATATTTGTCAAAAGATAAATGTAACTGAGTGGAAGCATGTAAAATGTATAAAAATACTCCTATGCTATTACTTTCGTGTTTTAACTTTTTAAAATTATTAGCTTTGCAAAGAGATTGAAAATAGGGACAGACAACATGGAAAAGCTCAGAAGTGTTTATCTTCTATGTAGCAGTTTTGGTGAAAAGAGTGATGTTGAAATGGATACCAGAAATGGTAGTTTGGGATTTTTTGGATTTTATTTTATTGTTAATTTGGGCAGTCAAGACTTGTAAAGCCAGACAAGAATGTTTTCTAAGGATAAGAGTGTGTTACCTAATTTTGGAATTAGGAAACATTTCATCTCATTCTTTTAAAGTCCTAGATAAATATAGCTGTTTTGAGCAAATTCCATATTTAACATGCATTTATTGCATGCTTATTTTGTGCCGGCTCTTGTGCTGAGTATGTAGAACACTGGGTTTTTTTTCTCCTTACTTTCTTCTTATCCACTCTCCAGGTCCTGTTAAGGATATTTTCAAGTCTGCTCTGTACTGCTTACTGCAAGACAAAACAAACCAACCCTTTGGATGCTTTATTAGAATAGTAATTATGTGGCTGAAATGAGAGCTGTTGTCAGTAATCAGAGGGCAAGGGAGGTTGGGAAGCATATCTTGTGCCAGACTAATTATTCCAATCTTGAATTCTATTTTTGTTGTTGTTAATCTCACCCAAGGATATTTTTTTCATTGATTTTTAGAGAGAGTGGAATGGAGGGAGAGAGACGGAGAGAGAGAAACATTGATGTGAAAGAGACACATCAATTGGTTGCCTCTCACACATGCCCAGGGATCGAGCTTGCAAACGAGGTACATGCCCTTGACTGGGAATCAAACCCATGCCCCTTCAGTTTGTGGGCCGACCCTCTAACCCAGCCGTGGGCAAACTACGGCCCACGGGCCGGATCCGGCCCATTTGAAATGAATAAAACTAAAAAAAAAAAAAAGACCGTACCCTTTTATGTAATGATGTTTACTTTGAATTTATATTAGTTCACACAAACACTCCATCCATGCTTTTGTTCCGGCCCTCCGGTCCAGTTTAAGAACCCATTGTGGCCCTCGAGTCAAAAAGTTTGCCCACCCCTGCTCTAACCACTGAGAAAAACCTCCTAGGGCTATACTGTATTCTTAAAGTAAGTTAGAGAAAAGAAAATGTTATTAGGAAATGTTATTAAGAAAAAAGAAATATATGGTACTTATTGGAAAAAAAATCTATGTATAAGTGCATCTGTACCGTTCAAACCCTTGTTGTTCAGGGTCAGCTGTATTTGTGACGCTATTGCAAAATAGACCATCATCGTTTCATCCAGAGTATTTTAAAATACAAATGTTTAATGAGCAGACCATCTTTAGAGCTTGATGATTATAGTTGTATTTATGTTGCCATTTGAGAAATAATAAAACTGGTATATAGTAATAAAATGCTTTTTCAGGGAACAAAGATTAGAGATTAGAGCAATTACTGTTTTTCTTTTTATTACATATTTATTTATTTAAAAAATTTCTTTAAAAATATAAGAAACATCGATCAGCCGCCTCCTGCACATCCCCCACTGGGGATGTACCCGCAACCCAGGTACATGCCCCTGACCGGAATCAAACCCGGGACCCTTCAGTCCGCAAGCCGACGCTCTATCCACTGAGCCAAACCGGTTTCGGCTACATATTTATTTTTTAATTCGGGCCTTTATATTGTAATCGTTCTTAAGATACTAGGATAAGCTACTTTCTAATATTGAGAAATTTCTCTTGGTGGATGACTACATGTTTATAATTTATATGTAACATTTAATGTAGCAAAATCTCTTATTAAGCAAAACATGGCAATTATGCCTTAGGCTCTCATGTCAAAGATAGCACACAATAACTTTTCTTTGTACTTGGGAGGCTAACTCTAATCTCTGTTTAAATTTTTTGTTATTTTTTCCCTAAAACTTTAACTTGAGTTGTGAAATCATCTTTCCAATTACGTTAGATGAAAACTGAATCTCGGCCTGATAAGTCAGTTAAGGAACCTTTTTTCTTTTGGTTAAGTTTCATATTTATAGGTGTATGTATGTCCCACCCAATAAAAAAGTAATGTGCTTGCTCTGCAGACAGATGGAGGCTACCCACGGCTCAGAATCTATGTTATAACGTATTTCACCCTGTGCCGGTATTCTGCAGAGTTGAACAGTCATTCATTTCGATATTGTGCCCTACTTACAATATAATTTAACTGAGGCTAAACTGGATTTTTTAAAAAAATGGCATTTGAATGGTACATCATATTTCATTTTAATGTGGAATTATTGGTGTTTCTCATGAATATTTCCCAAAAGGGTTTTGTTTGTTGTAAGTTGACTTTCAGAGTTTCACTGTGTTTTACTACACAAGAAGAGATTTAACCTTTCGCAGTTTTCTGATCTTCTCTTTCTATCATGGGACAGGTATTGGTTGGAGGAGGAGAAAAGTGATTGTCACCTGATAGATTTTTGTCTTATGAGGAATTTATCATATCTTCTTCCTAGATCAGATTTCTCTTGACTGGAGAGTTAAGTTCTAAATGTTAATCTGTATTTTTAAGCGGTTAATAACACTTTCTAGAATGGCCTATTCTGGTGTTAAAAAAGATGTTTTCTATATGGATTCCTATTTATGTTATTTTGTTAAGCTAGACAAAAAATATTTCTGATGTGGGGAAAATACTCTGTCAAATGGGTTTTTATATTCTGTTTTTAAGAACTTGAGCTTTAGCATCTAAAATTCTCTTACCAAATATACAGGGCATTATTTGGTAATTTTAATGTTGTGCTCTTTTATAAATGTGTGTTTTGTTTCCATCTAGATCTTGAGTACCTGATGCACGCAAAACAACAGCTAGTAACCACAGCTAAGCGTTGGGATTCTTCTTCTAAGACTATTATAGAGTTTGAACCTAATGAAACTACTGATTTGGAGAAGAGCCTTCTTATCAGATACCAAATTCCTCTATCTGCTGACCAGCTATTTACCCAGTCCGTTTTAGACAAGTCATTGACCAAGACCAACTATCAGTCACGGTTGCATGACCTCCTTTATATTGAGGAGATAGCTCAGTATAAAGAAGTAAGCAAGTAAGTTACATTAGAAACACTTTTCTTAATTTTTGGTTATCTCCCCTTTGGGTGTTATTTTTCATTTTGAAAATGGAGGTGTTCCTATGTGAAGACAGATAGTAAAATGGTTGTTTTTCAGTGGCTGTTATTTAGTAGCTGTACATGAGCTTCTTGAGGCAAGAACTGTGTCTTGCCCATCCTGGTAGTCCTAGCGTTTTGTACATAGTTCATTTCCACAAGACTCTGCCAGGTGCTGGGAGTCTAAACATGTGGTCCCAGCTCTTTAGGAGGTTTCTGTTCATGGTAGCCAGGGCAAGCACTCAGTGAATATTTGTTTAGTAAATGTACAAAAACTAAAAGAGACTTCATATTTTGAAAAGGAATTTTAAGTATGAAATGATTTAATCTTCAGGAAAACTAATTGATAATAATAAAATACCTTTATAGCAGTTTATAAATGCTTTAACATATTTTACATTTTATCCATATTCCATAGATTAAGACCAAGTGTTTAAATGAAAACTTATTTGAATCATATAGAAAAGATAATCTGAAAAATTAAAGTTTGAGTGAAGGAAGATGTTAACGAAATAGTTGTTGTATTTGGTAGTAGCATTTTGCTTTTTAATAAAATGAAACGAACCTTAAAAATTGAACCACAGTTATGAGGCACAAACACATTTTTATAAGTAGTTTTCCCTTTAAATATACCCTAACCAACACATCTTTCTTTCCCAAGCTGCCTTATTCCCCTCCCCCCTTTTTTATGGAATTTATTGGTGTGACAGTGGTTAATAAAATAACATGAGTTCCAAGGTGCCTTATCAATACCTTATCATTAATATTATTAATAGATATTGAATACTCACTGAGGGATATATTCAGAAAAGGAAAAGTGAAAACTTAAAAGATACCTTGTGTTACTCTATTTATAGATTAAATATGATCTAACTTTTGGAAAGTATTTTATTCAAATTAAATACATGTAAGATTTACAAAATCAGAATATCGTTTTCATTACTCTAAGACTTTCAATTGTGGCCTATTGATGGTCTCTTAAAAGACATCAATTGTTTCTATAGACAGTTCTAATGAAATGATCAGTTATCAAATAGCAAGGGCAGTGGCTTGTATCATATTCATTATTCACATTATTAATATGCATGTATTTTATTTATATTATTCTAGTTTCTTTTTCCTTGAGAAAGGAACACTATGGTAAGTCATAAATATTGGGATGAGACAGAGCTTACAAGCTTACAGGAATCTTTTTGTTTTTTTAAATATTTTTATTGATTTCAGAGAGAGGAAGGGAGAGGGAGGGAGGGAGGGAAGGAGGAAGG